ACACAGTACTCTCCTAATAGCAAATATAAGGGCCACCTTCAATGTAATCTTCAAATTCACACTATTAGAGGAGAATAAAATTAATTCCTTTATGGCCTCCTCTGTATTCACTCAAAATGCATTATCTCATAGGCAGAATGTCCAAAACTCCATCTTGGTAGTCTAGTTTTAGGAAACTAATAATAATTGTGATATCTTTATAATTTTATCTAATACTTCTCATCCTGAAGGATCCCAAAGCAGTTTACAGCCTATCAGTATATAGAGCTCAGGCACCAATGCAGACAGCTCTGGGGTGCAGTGTGGTCGCTGTTTAACAGCTTATGGCAACACTACATAAGTAGTTTTATTAGGAGATGAATTGGGGTGGGGGGAAGCTGTTTCCAACTGGAAACAAGGAGGGATTGGATTTAGGGAGGGAAAAAATTGGAATTTGACCTGGACACTGCTGCTAATATTTCTCAGAATCTTTAATGACCAAAATTGGTCTGGATCTTTGTTTTATGCCTCATCTAAAAGTCAGGAAAACGAGTATGAGTTGAGATCATCGAATATCCCCAAATATAGTATTCACTATGGCTAAGTAATATACAAAGACTACAGAACATAATCAGTATGTGACTAAATCATAGGTTCTGAGGGGGGAAAAACAATAGGGTAGAATCTACCCTAGAGTAAGTTTAAAGTCAACGTAGTTACACCAAGGATGAATTAAGATATAACCCTGGCCCTTTTGCTGAATGAAGCCTATATGGAGCCAGGATAACTGCCTTCCTCAAGAAGAATGCAATGGCCTGCCATGAGGCTAACACTCATGACTAGATCTCTGCGGGAAATGGCTTTCCCGTCCTGCAAAAAATGTCAAAATATTAGAAAAATGTTCCCATCCCATCTCAGGACAAAAGATCAGAATCTTGGAAACTTTGGAACTTCTTATCCTAAACGATCAGTGTCAGCAATAACCCCACTGACCTATCAGTTTGGCCAGATTTTAATCCATTTAATGTGTGCCAGGATAATTTTATACCTTTCTAGTTTTTAATCAAAATATTGTGTGGTACCAAGTCAAAGTATGTTATGTCAATACTATTTATCAGTCACATTTTGTAATCTCATTAAAAAAAATCAAGTTAGTTGGACAGAATCTATTTTCCATAAACCTGTGTTGATTTGCATTAATTACATTACCTTCCTTTAATTATTTATTAATCGAGAGACATATTATCTTGCCCAGGCCTGATGTCAGACTGAGAGGCCTATAATTATCCACGTCATCTCATTTACCCTTTTAAAAATATTGACAGACTAACTTTTTTCCAGACTTCTGGAACATCCCCAGTGTTCTAAGTTTTATTGAAAACCAACATTATCAGTCCAGCAAGCTCCTCAGCCAGCTCTTTTAAATCTCTTGGATTCATGTTATCTGGATGTATGGACTTAAATGTCTAACTTTAGCAGATGCTGTTTAGCATCCTTCTGAGATACTAGTGGAATGGAAAGAGTGTTAGCATATTCTTTGACTACATCATCTGTTCCTTCCTCCCCAATGCAGAACAAAAATATTTATTGAACACATTTACCTTTTCTGCTTTATTATTGATAATTCTACAAATACCATTGATGAGATTCTTTTTGTTCCTAATATACTTACAGAACTCCATTCTATTGTCTTTAACCCTGCTGGCCGGAGATTTATCCTTGTGTCCCTTTCAATTTTCTACAATTGAATATAAGGACATAAGAACGGCCCTACTTGGTCAGACCAAAGGTCCATATAGCCCAGTATCCTGTCTTCTGACAGTGGCCAATGCCAGGTGCCCCAGAGGGAATGAACAGAACAGGTAATCATCAAGTGATCCATACCCTGTTGCCCATTCCCAGCTTCTGGCAAAAAGAGGCTAGGAACACCGTCCTTGCCCATCCTGGCTAATAGCCATTGATGGACCTATCCTCCATTAACTTATCTAGTTCTTTTATGAATCCTGTTATAGTCTTGGCCTTCACAACATCCTCTGGCAAAAAGTTCCACAGCGTTGTGTGAAAAAATACTTCCTTTTATTTGTTTTAAACCTGCTGCCCATTAATTTCATTTGGTGACCCCTAGTTCTTGTTTTATGAGAAGGACTAATTAGCACTTCCTTTTTTACTTTCTCCACACCAGTCATGATTTTATAAACCTCAGTCATATCCCCCCTTAGTCATCTCTTTTACAAGCTGAAAAGTCCCAGTCTTATTAATCTCTCCTCATACGGAAGCCGTTCCATACCCCTAAGCATTTTTGTTGCCCCTTTCTGAACCTTTTCCAATTCCAATATATCTTTTTTGAGATGGAGTGACCACATCTGCACGCAGTATTCAAGATGTGGATGTACCATGGATTTATATAGAGGCAATATGATCTTTTCTGTCTTATTATCTATCCCTTTCTTAATGCTTCCCAACTTTCTATTCACTTTTTTGACTGCCACTGCACATTGAGTAGATGTTTTCAGAGAACTATCCACAATGACTCCAAGATCCCTTTCTTGAGTGGTAATAGCTAATTTAGACCCCGTCATTTTATATATATAGTTGGGATTATGTTTTCCAATGTGCATTACTTTGCATTTATCTTTATCAACACTAAATTTCATTTGCCATTTTGTTGCCCAGTCACCCAGTTTTGTGAGATCCTTTTGTAACTCTTCACAGTCTGCCTGGGACTTAACTATCTTGAATAGTTTTGTATCATCTGCAAATTTTGCCACCTCACTCTTTACCCCTTTTTCCAGATCATTTATGAATATGTTGACTAGAACTGGCCCCAGTACAGACCCATGTGGGACAACACTACTTAACTCTCTCCATTCTGAAAACCGACCATTTATTCCTACCCTTTGTTTCCTATCTTTTAACCAGTTACTGATCCATGAAAGGACCTTTCCTCTTATCCCATGACAGCTTATTTTGCTTAAGAGCCTTTGGTGAGGGACCTTGTCAAAGGCTTTCTGAAAATCTAAGTACACTAAATCCACTGGATCCCTCTTGTCCACATGCTTGCTGACCCTCTCAAAGAATTCTAGTAGATCGGTGAGACATGATTTCCCTTTACAAAAAACATTGCTAGTTTCTGATTAATATTCATTACTACCAATTTTTCTTTTCTTTTTTATTTCTTCATTTAATCATTTATACATACAGCTGCCTTCACTTCCCTTCTAAACCAGGTTAGCCTTCTTCCTCGATTGTGGCTTTTGGGGCATCTAGCAAAGTGTTCATAACAATTCCTGATTATCATTTCACATTTTTTCTGATTAAATTCTTCCTCCCAGCTGATTGGGCTCATAATTGTTTTCAACATTGTGAAACTGACCCTTTTAAAAGCACCAAATATCTAATTCTGGGCTGGACCTAATTCTGTTTACACACTCTAAATGTGATGAAGTCATGATTGCTTGTACATAAGCTATTATTAATTTTTAGTTCTACAATCAGTTCCTTTTTTCCTATCAAGATGAGGTCTAATATAAAATTCCCCTGTGTTGGACGAAGCACTTTTTGAGTTAGGAAATTGTCATCTATAACATTTAGAAATTCACAGAAATGTTTTAGTATTGTCAGCAAGAGACCTTTAGCATGTGTCGCTCCAGTTGAAGTCCCCCATGATCTTGCTGCTTTTTTCCACTGCGTATTATAGATAGATGCGTAAGGAGCTGGTCATCCTGTTCCCTAGTGTCATTGGTGGTCTGTAGCGGACACCAGCTGCTACTCCATCTTGTGCTTTATCTGTTGGGACATTGATCCGTAAGTGTTTAAGATCATTTTCCTCCGAGTTATCAGTGACTCGGAAACAGGTAATGCCATTTTTGAAATAGAGTGCCATTCCCACTCCCCTTTTGTCCACTGGATGGGGTATAACCATTGATTTTTAACATTCCAGGTAGAATCAGCATATGAAATGTGTACCTTATTAAACAGAGGATCCTTCCCGAGAATGAGCATGATCTCATTCAGTTCTGATGCTAGCACACTTCTCACTAGCAGCTCCCAAGCTCTTCTCCCATATACCTGTTCCCATGCTAATTAAACTCAGAATGCAGGATAGATGGTAATGTTAGTTCCAACGATGTATAATTTGTTGTTCTTTCCAGGTGCTTCTATCCACTAGGAACCCAGGGACTCACATGGACTTCAGACCCTGTGTGTTAGCAATACCCAGGGTGTGGATGCTGCCTCTAGTTGCTGGCCTAAGTGAGGTTAAAACCAACCACATCACTAGCTCAAGTAGAAGAGGCTGGGGTTTGGGGGTTGAGAGCCCTGGATTCAAGTCCTGATGCCAGCTGTATGCTGCAAATTTGTGTTCAACCAGAGCACATTACACAACGGTGCCTACGTGGTACTTGAACCCTGTGGAGTTCAGAGTCAGTGATCAAGCTTGTTTGCGAGGAAAAGTATAAAACATGCTGCTCTAGTTCATGTTTCCCTCTATTGGCTGGGTCCGGTGGCTATCACAGTCTGCTCCTAACAGGTACGGGAATACTCACGAAGCTCCAGTAGTCGAGGCCTGTGCTTTCGTTGCTGAAGGACCTGGGTTCAGTCCACCTCAGATAATTCAGGTTGTCTGTAGGTGTCATTACACATACACAGTGAGATAATTAGTTCTTTAGCTACTGGACTAAAGTATAACGCTAGGCTCACAGGCTGTTGGTTTTATGGTGCATCAGACAGTGCTTCCGCATCCCCTAGCGCCGTTCTCAGGCCTTGGTTCATTGCTAACTCAGAGGGCAGAGCAACGCTTCCTGCATTGCACCAGTACTATTTCCTGTTGAGCTTGCACTTCCTTTGGCAGTGTCCCATCCAAATACTGACCAGACTTAACCCTATGTCGTTTGTGAGCTCAGAGAGCATGAGATCAGCACAAGGTGACTTAACCTGTTTGGGACAGGTGGTGGGAAAGGGCTTTAATTTCATAAACATTGTTCATGGTTGAGTAAAAAAAATTCTACTTTATTTTTCAACAGAAAAATTTCCAGGCTGCAGTTCAATAAGGTGAAGCTGGAAGACGCTGGGGAGTATAGCTGTGAAGCCGAGAATGTGCTAGGGAAAGACACAGCAAAAGGCAGCCTTAATGTGAGAAGTGGTAAGTTGAGACACCAGAGACTGTCAGGAGACAGCTATTGCCTTTCTTACACTGGGGGAGCATGTTCTGCACATGATCTGTCTTGTGTATTGTTTAATACTTTCAGGATATCAAGTGAAATAATCTCGGGAGATAAAGAAAAATGCAGCTTAAGCATAAATGTTTATCGTCACCATCTGCCACTGGCAGAGTGGTTGATCTACACTTTAAATAAACTGCAGACTAAATATTATTAAAGAAACAACTGAAGGCGGTGGTAGTGGAGGTGGTGGGTTTATACTTTTAGAAGCATTTCTGAGAAGCAAAGTTAAGGTATAACTTCTCTATGAGTGAAATGCCGACTGATTTTCATCCAGTAAGGTCCCTCTCCCTGGGAGTCACGTGTGGGCTAGTGAATGGAGCCAGTGGTTGGGCGTCAAAAGACTTTAAGTTTTGTTACAGACTTGGCCATGCCACATGATCCTCCTCCTGCTTACTACTGCAAATAATAATACTGCTCAAATAGGATTAAGTTGTGTTGCTCCCAGCTTTAAATGGGACTATTTTCAGTATTAAGCACGCCTTCGGTAGTGTTTGCAGACTTGGGCCTCTACTTGTAACTTTGGGTAGATTAATCAACCTCTCTGTATATCTTAGTTAACCCATCTGTAAAAATAAAAGATGCCTATCCAGATCTGTAAAAGCCTCCAGATGCAAAATGCTAGTTGTGTGTTAAGCATTGTGTCTGAAGAGAGCCCTCAGGCTCTGCTATATCTTTTCCATTTAGGAAAAAAATCTAAAGTTAGTTAACTGGACAGCACAGCCTCTTTAAACTGTTTGAACTGCATTCTCAAATCTGGACAGCCATTACGATAGCAACATATGCATGCGCAACAGGTAACTGCGCCTGGAAATCAGACACAGAGTGCATGTATTTTATGGTCTCCACTTAGGCAGCTGTGTTGAGAAAATGTAGCCCTTTTATCAGTCTCAGATGGATGAAATATAAGTCACTGACAATCCTTTCCGCTCAGTGAGGATGGAGTCTGCCTGTGTGATTGTACAGAACCTAGCACAACAGAGCTCTGATAGGAATGCCAGTGAAATGCAAAGCAGAATTATGGCAATTTAACACTGCTAGTTCCCACAAATTCAGACAGCATCCACATTATGTAGTGTATAAATATTTCTTCAGACGACAGGTAGGGTATGATATGAGAGGTGTGTGTTGGAGGAAAGGACAAAGGGTTTTCATTCATTCCCTGCCTAGCTTGGAGGTTGCATCTCAGACAAATGTCCACAATCTCACCTGGAATTTGCAAGGGCTATTCTGGCCACTGAAAACCAGAAATAACAAATGCAATTTCTGGTCTCTCAGCCTAATTCTCTGAGCTGTCCCCTTACTGAGTGGGAGCTGTAGATTGCATGGTGATGAAAGCACTAGAAATACAGAAAGACTGACTCAGTGGTGCAGTCATACCTACTGTAACGGTATTAATCCACCACCAAAGCTTCCTCACAAGCATACCTTAGTGGTATTTAGCTGCATTAACAGTAACATCTTTACTGTTGTTACTTGCCAGTCATCAGCATTAGTGCAGAATAGCCAGGGGTGAAAGTAACTTAGGGCTGGTCTACACTGGGGGGGAGCGGGGGTGTCGATGTAAGATATGCAACTTCAGCTACGGGAATAGCGACTTACCTCCCGTCCTCATGGCGCGGGATCGATGGCCGCGGCTCCACCGTCGACTCCGCTTCTGCCTCTCACCCTGGTGGAGTTCCGGAGTCGACGGGAGCGCGTTTGGGGATCGATCGCTACCTGCCGATCCGGCGGGCAGTCTGGATGTACCCTTAAAGGACTTACCGGTACGCCGGAGTCTTTAGCAGGCGTGGCCTCAACCCAAAGAGGCGTGGCTTCAATGGGAAGAGGCGGGGCCTTTCAAGATTTAAAAGCCCTGGGGCTCCAGCTGTGGCTGGGAGCCCCAGGGCCTCTAAATTACCCTGGAGCTACCAGCTGCAGAGGTGGCTGGGAGCCCGGGGCTCAGGGGCGAATTAAAGGGCCCGGAGCTCTGGCCGCCGCGGAGCTCCAGGCCCTTTAAATCACCTCCAGAGCTCTGCCGCCGCTGGGGTGGCTCCGGCAGCGATTTAAAGAGCCAGAGGCTCCGGCCGCTGCAGGGAGCCCCAGGCCCTTTAAATCACCGCTGGAGAAGCCGGTCCAGTCTGGCACGGCGTACCAGCTCTTGCCAGCACGGCGTACCAGACTGTACCAGCTTACTTTCACCTCTGGGAATAGCTGATACTTAGTACAAGACCTAGGGCTCTAATGGTGATCACTTGTGAAAGGTAAATATAAAGGTGGTGGTCACTGTATGCAATCACAGTCCACCACTACTCTGACCTTGTCAGTCTCCTCTTTGAATCCTTTCATTGGCTCCCTCTGCTTCTGGCCCAAGTTCAAACTTCTTGTTCTCCCCCACTGCCTACATCTTTGCTCACCCAGAGTCTCCCGCCTAAGCAGGCACTGCATGCTTCTCCCATTCTCATTTTACTGCCAAATTCTTCCAGTCTGCCCCCTCCAGCTGTCCTTATGCACCAAACAGTGACCCCTCTTTTTTTCATATCTCTCCTTAAGGAACATGTCTTACGTGATGCCTTTCAGTAGTACGCTTTCCATGATATTTGCTCCTCTTTGAGTCTGCATCTTCCTCTGGTGGGTAAACTCCACTGTCTTGTCTATGAATTAAATTGTAAGCTCCTTGGGGCAGGTCCTGTGCCTCTCTTTCAGCATGAGCCTACTGCATAAATCGCTTTCTTATTCTATAAAGGACATCGATAAAACAGTAAAGAAAGCAGGAAACACAAATACAGCGAAATAGGAAAGAACACGTACGCTAGACATTCACACTGAACAGTGGTGGCTGTACTACATAAACGGTCAAAGAAAACCAGACACAGGTTACTCATGCCCTGATCCTAGGTCTTTGATTCATAACTCGTCAAAATGGACTTCATCTGAGTAAAGCAAAGAAGAGAAAAGGAAGAAATAGGAATAAAACCCCAGTCTGTGAGAACAATCACTATAAAATCCCATGTCTTCTGCAAGGAAAATCTCAAAATTCTACATCTTTTTATGGGTGACAAGACGGATGCCAATTTAACTGATATGATAAAGGTACGGTCTGACCCAGATACCCTTGCATGTGGCTGCTCCATTGTGCAATATAACAGCGTGATACTGCTGTGGGTTTTTTGTTTTGTATTTTTAATTAAAGGGAGAGTTTAGCTCTAGTGAAAGGTACTGGATTGGTACCAGGCACTGAGATTCATAGGGCTGATCCCAGCTGCTGATCTCCCACACAGGGGTGCAGCCAGTGCTTAAGTTGTAATGAAAGAGGTACCGGGGCTTAAGCAATGATTTAATTTTAAATTTGTTATGACTTTGAATTGGCAATAATACCACCATACATTCAGTCATAACACATTTATTTGAAAGAGTAGCCCACTGTCTAAGGTGCCACAAGGACTCCTCGTTTTTTTTGCTGATACAGACTAACACGGCTACCACTGAAACCTGTACTGTACTAGTGTTAGATGTTTACAACCATGTATTCTACATCATATACAAAGTAGTAGCTTGTGCAGAAAAAAATTAAAAGCAACTGCAGGAAAAAAAAAGTCTGAATATATTTGCTAGCTACAGACCTCTCCACCTTTGCCCTGGCTCTCTCCCTAGTGTTGTTACACAATGTTATTCTCACACCTCCCTTATTCTCTGCCCTGCTGTACCCGCCCCCCAAACACACACACATCCACAACCATTCTTTGTTCAGTTGAAATGACAATAACTGCGGTATTATATTGTTCTACTACTTAACAACCAGCTATGGTGCTTCACAGTAACAACTTTTAAATGAGTCACTAAAAATAGTTAACGATGTCTGCTTTGTTTTCTATATTGTTAAGGAACATTATTGAGAGCAATGAAAAATTATATTTTCGTATGGACCGAACAAATGTAACCAAACTAAAAAAAAAAAAAAAGATTTAAGACCTTTCTTTACCCTAATCCTGCAGTGTTGGGAGAAGTGGTGTTGGATACAGCCTTGTGCTTTACTTCACCAGATAATGCCAGCAAGTATATTTGCGTCCCCTACTAGAGCTCTGCATGGGACTATTTTTTTTAATCCTGCTCCCGTCCCACCCTGCAATACCCACTCCTGCATTGTTTGAGTTTTTCCCCGCTATTATGGCAGCGGGTCCTGGGGATCCCAGTCCTGCTGCAAGGCACTACTCCCTACCGTTTTTTTTTTTCATTCGCTCCATTTTTCTGCCCTTCTCTGCCCCAGCTTTGCACCCGGGTGGCTGCACTGCTCGTCCCTCCCTCGTTACGACCCTGATGGATACAACTATGTTGAGAATTTTAAGAAAAACACCTTTCAGAGGAAAAAATAGAGATTTTTTTTTTCACTTTCCTAACTGATGCAGCAAGCCCAGAGGGGTGGGGGCTCAGACCTGACAAGCCCCAGCACAAATTAAGCACTGGCTGCAGCATTATAAGTGGAGACCTGGGTGGACCCCCAAAGCTAGTAACGAGCCTCCTGGGCCAATGGGAGTGTGTCACCCCCCCACCCACCCCCAGTGGGCACTAGGGTGACCAGATAGCAAGTTTTAAAAATCAGGACGGGGGTGGGGGGTAATAGGAGCCTATATAAGAAAAAGCCCCAAATATTGGGACTGTCCCTATAAAATCGGGACATTTGGTCACCCTAGTGGGTGACTCTGTCCCCTTCTAGCTATGGCTGTGCTGCAGGTGGAGGTTGATAAGGCTACTACAGTCTTGGCTCACAGAGCAGGCTCTTTTAGCTCATACTCTAGAGGCACATGCGTTTTGATCCATAAGTCTGGGGTTCAATCCCTGCTGCCCTCAACCCAGCCAGAGGGCACTATAGTTTTTGCAAAGTAATTTTTACTCCTCCCCACCAACACTTTTATTTATTTATTTATTTCCTTTTGAGAAAGGT